CCCTGAACCCTAACACCTAAACCCTAATTTCTCTTCGAAGTTCCCATACTTGCTACGTACCCTGACTCGGGATGGTCCTAGATATCTTCATGCGGAAACTCAAACCTTTTAGGGTTTAGGGTTTAGGGGTTTAGGGTTTAGGGTTCAGGGCTTTGGGTTTGGGGTTTAGGACTCAAACCTAAACCCCCACAGTTATACCACATCCCCAGACCGTTCGTTTAGCTTGCTAACTACATGTCCTGCATCTCGAAGTAGAGGCTGCTCGGGATTTTAGATAGTTTAGGCGGTTCCTGATGATCTCTAAGGCTCAAAGGTTCAAGCTAAGAGCAGCTAGCCGACGACGTTGGTCGCGACGACTACCTTTGACGACCGATCTCTTGAAGCATGGAGCTGGCGCCAGCCCCTATGCATTATTCATCATTATTCAATAGTATCGGATGGGAGCCCAGATCAACAACAGCCCACAGGGGGCGAACCGCCATCATGCGCCACCGATGCCGAGCCAGATGGATCCGACAGTGCGGCTGATCAGCAAGCTCCTGCTGAAACACGAGGAGGAGCTCGCGAAGACCCGGCGAGAAAAGAACTTCGTCCTCTTCCTTCGTCAGGACGAGCACAGCGAGCTCCCGAACCTTATCCAGATTTCCAACCCTAAACCCTAAACCCTAAACCCTAAACCCTAAACCCTTCGGAGGGCCTCAGGGCACCAGGCCCTGACCTAGCCGCTCCGGACAGTACTGCTGGCGTGTCTGTTGAAGGAGCTGCTGGCTCGCGTTCAACATGACCGTCTGCAGTCAAGGGCAGCGGAGTCTTTCGGGCTTGCTGAGTTCTTGTCACGGAGCTAAAATACCATGAGTCTTTTGCCGTACATACCACCAAAACAATAATAATGTGTATAAGACCAAAATACAGTGGTATGTCATACCTAAGATGCTGCTCTTCTTAGTTGTCAAGACATCCATTTCTACATCCTCAACCCATTTTAGGGGCTTTGGCTGCTTAAGACGAGGCATTCGGCGACGTGCTTTCACCTGATGAAGGTGGGAAGACAGGGGTTCCACCACGGTTTGGCTGTTGATGGAAGGCTCTGTGCCCCTTTTGGGAGTAGGGCCTAAACCCTACAACCCTAAACCCTCGTCCCAAGACCCTTAACGGCAAGTATGTGGGTGTTGTCGAGTTCAGATCGGGTTCGGAGGCTTAGAGTTCCCCCAGTAGTTTAGGGTTGAGATTAGAGGGTTATGGGGTTATAGGTTTCAGGGTTCGTAAGACTTAGGTTTAGGGTCCAGAGTCTTAAAGATTAGATTTTACCATAATGGGTTTCTATGAGTAAACGGTTTCTAGTCAGGTTTATTTAAAGGTTGACCAATGTAGACCCCTGATTGATAAACTTCGGATGATGGAAAGGAGTCTGAAAACTAGGGCAGCATCAACCCGGGTCCGCCAAAAAACACAAGAAAACGTTCAAAGACGTCACCTTTGCAACTCCAGCCAAATCCAAAGTGGCGTAAACTGGCAACAGGGCTCCTGCTCCGTTGCAGGCCGCAGCGCCTCGTGCGCCAGCGGCACCAGCAGTGGCGGTGGTATTAGCTTCGAGCCTCACCAGCTCACCACCTGCTGCTCCTTCGGCGTCGTCGACTTCGAATACATCCTCAGCGACGTCGCGCTTGAACTGTTAGACCGCAGACGGGAAGTATGCCACACCAGCGAACACGACTTCATCGACCATGTCGGCTGCGTCGACAGCAGCGTAGACGCCTGGTGCGTAGGGCAGGGGGGTTGTTAATCAGGGGTCTGCATTGCCGAGTTTCTATGCGGCAAAGGGTTGTGTAGGGGCGTGAGTAATGACCAGTACTATTTTTTGGGGCTCCTTCTTATTATTCTTATTCACTAGTATAGTAAAATCTACCCCAAAACCCTATTCTAACTATTAAGGTCTATTAGGGACCTTAATAATTAGAATAGGGTTTTGGGGTAGTTTATACGAGTCCCTATATTAAACCCTAACCGCGGAACCCTAAACTTTGACCCTGAACCTTCAACCCTCGTCCTCACACCCCTAGAGCTTGGAAGGTAGGCCCGGTGAAAATGGCCAGAGCCGTAAAGCAAACCCCAAGAACCCCTGTAGAATGGATTTACGCCGGATAAAACAGCCACGGAACCTGATGAAATCCAAGCCCTAAACCCTAAACCCCTAAACCCCTAAACCCCTAAACCCCTAAACCCCCAACCCCTAAACCCTGCACCCAAGTCCTAAACTTGCGGTTTACCTGGGTTCTTTGCTTTCTTTGGCTCCTCTTTTGGGGTTCGCCAGTCTCGGAAACCCGGAAGGTTGAAAGGCCTAAGCCCAGGATGCGACCCGAAACCCTAAACCAAAACACCACAGCGCAGCGATTCAGGGTTTAGGAAGCCATGATGTAGAAGCCTGATTCACAGCTTGTACTTCAAGTATGTTAGGGTTTGGGGTTTAGTGGTTTAGGGTTCGGGTTATACCCCGAAACCTTGTTCCAATTCCTATGGGCTTCCTATATGAGCAAGTACTGAGCCCATAATCCCAAACTCAGGAACACGAAGCCAGCTGGCCATGCGGGCACAAGGCTAGAAAGCCAAGTCCTTAAAGGCTGACACCCCGGAGCCACAAGCCCTCAGCCAAGCAAGCCAGCTTTACCTGAACCTATGGCCCCTAGATGCGTGTCCTGAAACCCTAGCCCTAAACCCCAGCTGACACTGACTCACGAGTGTCCGGCCGAACCCCGAACCTTAAACCCCAAACCCCCAGAGCCCTATATAAGCCTTGAGCGTGAAACCCCTAAACCCTAAACCCTAAACCCAATCCCCCAAACCCTAAGCTGTGTCACAGGGGTTTGGATGTGACGTCCTCGCTTCCGCATCAAGGCCGACAGTTCTCGAGGTTTTGCCCCTAAGCCCTAGGCCTTGAAACCTCAACCCCCCCAAACCCTAGACAGGTTTAGGGTTTAGGGTTTACGGTTGCCCTAAACCCTACCCCGCCCCCCCCCCCAACCCCAAAACAAAAAAGCCCTAAACACTAAACCGCTGACTGAAGCCTCAGTCCCATAGAACCCTCAAGAAGCCCATATCACCCTACGTGTGTGTTGGAGGTCTTTGGAGTTTCGTTCAGAGTTTGGGGGTGGTATGGTTGGGCTTAGGGTTTTTAAAGTAGGCTTAAATAATGACCAATACTATTTTGGGGGTTCCTGATTATAAGTATAGTATAATGCGCCCCAAAGCCCCATTAAACTTGTTAAGACCCCTACATGAGGCGTTTCAGGTGTTCTGGGCTTGGCAGTTCTTTCGGAGTTTGGGGGGCTAAGCCGTGCGGGTTTAAGAGGGCTGCAGTACATTCTTTTTTTTTATATAATTTTAGACCCCTAAACCCTAGAACCTAAGATGCAAGGGTTTGGGGGTGAGCGTCAGCATGGTCGGATCTCAGAGTATAGTGGCTGAGTGATGATGGTGATGCTGAGGGTTTAGGGTTTAGGGTTTAGGGTGAGGTTGATGCACATACTTTCGAGTTTAGGGCCTAGGGTTTGGGGTTTCGATCAGCAGGTCCCATGTCCAGTTCAAGTGATGGCTCGGAGTAGCAAGGACACCTCCCACTGAATGTGTGTTATGTGAGTCTTATGTGTACCATGGCCATACGAGAGAACGAGCCCTAAATTGTAAACGTTTGAGTGTGAGCAACAAACCTAGACCCTAAGCCTTATGATCCCATAGCCCTATAACCCTATAGCCCTAAACCCTAAACCCTAACCCCCATAACCAAATAGCCCAGCACCCTTATCCCTATAGCGCTGAAGACTACAAGGCTTACACTAAAGGCAATCTCATCCTAAACCACAGCGCTTAACTCTAAGCGGCCGCCCTCGTCTCAACCCTAAACCCTATATCCTGAAACCCCACGATTCTCACCGTCGATGCCCTGGAGGGAGAAGCGCGCGCAGTACCGAGAGCATATTGCCCGGAGCTTGGCGTTTTTCTTTTTTTCTGGGTGCCGCGTCGTTTCTATTCGCCATGCCGGTTTTAGGGTTTGGGGCTGTTGACTTTTTTGGATCCTTCTTGGGTGTACGTAGAATTCAGCGGAGTTCTAGGTTTACTTCTTTAGGGCTGAAGGTCTTGGGCTTGCTAGTCATTGAAGCCCCTACCCAAAAGCCCTCTTGCCTCTTGACCCCCGAAGGAACCCTAAACGAGATCCCAAAAAGCTATTCAAAACAAACCTATCCCTTCGGAACCCTTGAAGAAGCCCTACAGGGAACCCAAGAGCGTTTCGAGCCTGTTAGGTTAATGTAGGGGCCGAAATAATTACCAATACTATTTAGGGGTTCCGTATTATAGTTATAGTATAATGGGCCCCACAACCCTATTCTAATTTCTAGGGCCCCTATTTTAGGTGGGGGTTACATTTCAGTCCGATTGATGCCTTGCGGAACCTCCTTTAGAACGCTTCCTGAATTCCCTAGATCACTTCAATCTCCCTTGAAAGCATACTTTCAAGATCTTCTCCGTCATCACATCTGCCTGCAAGTGCAAGAGTGAGGGGAACGAGGACTCAGAAGAGGGTTTTTAAAAACCCTCTTTTTTTAAAAACCCTCTTCTGGTTTTTAAAAACCCTCTTCGTTTTTAAAAACCCTTTTTTTTTCAAAAAAAACCATGGTTTGTATCGAGAGCTCAGAAGAGCCTCTGCGCTTCAATCAGCGACTGTCCGATCGTCGTGACTCACGACATTTTGGAGGGGTTTAGGAGCCTAAACCCTAAACCCTAAACCCTTAACCCTATGCCCTAAACCCTTAACCCTAAACCCTAAACCCTAAACCCTAAACCCGCGCTCGATTCTTCAGCAGTCGACGTTTCAGCGTGAGCGGAGCTTGCGAGCAGCATCCCTCTGTTTCCGAGGAGGAGCTGGAGCGAAAGATGTCGACACCGACCTCGAAGTATCCAATCGAAAAGGAGATGGTGGTATTATATTATATCATATTATTGTTATTGTTATTATTATTATTATTATTATTATTATTACTATTACTATTATTCTTATTATTATTGTTATTGTTATTATTATTACTACTATTTTTATATGTATATATATATATATATATCGGTGGTAACGTTATCTGCTGAGAGAAAGAGCCCTTCAAGCGACTCCCCAAAGCCCCTTACGAGCCTTACAAGTAGGTGGTATTTAGCGCTAGACCTCATTAAAACAATATATGGGTAGCTGTCAAAATTATGGTCCCTTTTGGGGTACCCTCAATAATAGGTGCCGTATTACAATAAGGAACCAAAAAGAGACTCTAATTTTGACAACCATCCATATATGTCTTTATAAACCTAGCAACAACGCCCTAGTCTAGCGTTCGAGCCGGGTCTGAGGTGGGTCTAATTCTGGCCACGGACATGGCGACGCACTTCGACTTCCTTGGCAAGTTCCGGGTTGCGAGCTGAGACGCTCTGGGTTGTGAGAAAGCTTTTTGTTGCATAAAAGGTTTAGGGTTTAGGGTTTAGGGTCTTGGTGAGGTTTTATTGTCTCCAGCGTTGTCTTGACAGGTGTTATGGGGGTTGAAGTGAGGTTTTGCAGGGCTTTGCAGGTTCTCACAGGGCACAAAGAGAGTTCTATGATGCTCTAAGCGGTTATGGACCCAAGGGGGTTAGGGTCAGGGTTTAGGAAGCTTCTTCTGGGTTACTTCTAGGACACTTCCAGGTGAGTAGTTGCCGCTATAGGAGCCTTATAGAAGGTCTATATACCTTAAAGAAGCCTTATAGAAGCCCTANNCCCCACCTGTAGTTTCCTTTAGTTATGGAAGTTTGAAGGTTCCTTTACGGATTGCTGTTCATTATTAAGGCCCCTATATTGTGGCAATTACGGCTTTTTTTCGCGACCCTGCACTGAGACACAAGCCCCTTGCCAGCGACTTTGTAAATGTGGTTTGCTGTCTGTGCACCTGATGTAGGGGCCTACATACTTACCAATA